TGGCATGGTCCTTCAGACTTTCCAAATTCGTTTCCCCTAGATTCACATACCTAGCCCTACCGCTATCTGTTGACCTCCATAAAGCAGCATTACAAGGTATTGGTTACCAACGGGTACTTAGAACAGAAGGGCACACACAGTCCCATAACTGAAGTATGTTTGCTGATTGCTGAAGTTAGCATGAGCTTAGGACTTTGGCGTTCTCAGTGGAACTAAACTCTCTTGCCAGCGGAATATTTTCATTATATATGTTCCATTTGGTTGTAATTGAATCTGACTTTCTCTATCCATGCTCTGAGTTGCTCTTTTTCAGCCCTTGCCTAGGATTTGCCCAAAGCTTTGATTCCACACACTGGTAGGCCTGTGGGGCCTGGCTGATGTGCTCTTTGGGGGTTACGGCTCTTTACTAGTATGTGTTAGGAAAGCAGCCAAGGTAGTGTTTCCTATAGGCACCCTGTTCCCGGAAGACACTGCCATCACCGCAGACCAAGCCACCGTCTGCTCCTACTTGAATATTGCAGTGACCTCCTACCTGGTCTTGTCTGCTTTAGCCCTTGCTCCTCCTGCAGCTGGAGCGATTGTGTTACAATAGGAGTCATGTCCCTTCCTTTCTCAAAACCCTCTAATGGGCTCTAATCTCATGCAGAGTAAACATCATAGACCTTGCTAGGGCTCCAGGGCCTTCTTGTGGACTCTTGTTACTGACTGTCCTTACCTCCTGCTCCTCTCTTCCCTTGTCCCCTCCAGCCACACCAGCCTCCCTGCCATTCCTTATACCTGCTAGGCATGCTCTCACCTGCGGCCTCTGTGCTTCCTTCTATCTGCGGCTAGAATATCCTTCCAGATACCTACATGGCTCCCCTGCCTCATCTTTCTTTAAGTCTTTGCTCGATTGTCTTTTTCCCAGCGAGACTTTCTTACCACCCCAAACCCTCCTCCCTCCTCTGGCACTCTCCATCCCCTTGCCTCGTTTCATTTATTTCTACTGCATTTGTAACCTCCTAACAGATTATGCAATTTACTTAAAAAACAACAACAAACCCAAACCATTGCTTATTGCCCATTTCTTCCAACTAGAAATAAACAGCCCAGAGCACAGATAATCTGTTTTGCTCTTGTTTTCTCTCCATGACTAGAATAGTAGGTGCTCAATACATGTATGTGAACTGTAGGACCACAGATAGAGCAGGGACGGACGAGGCTGAGAGTAGCTGGTGAGCTTCCTGTGCTAAATCTGATTCTAGTTATGAAAATTGACCTACTACACCCATTTTTCATTGGTTTCTTGATTTTTGAGCAGTGCCTCAAAAGCAGTAGGAAGACATGCTTGAAGAGAAAGGCCCTTTGTAGAGTTGTCAGCATGGCTGCAGTGAAACCTGAGGGCCCCAGGCGAGGTGGCTAATGCTGCTATTTATAGCTAAGATTCCAGTATATGTTTTCCAGCCACACTTGCTCCTTTCAGCCTCCCCTGTACGCTCCAGTCTGTCACTCAATTAGCTAATGGCTCCTTTAGTCCCATTATGCATTGTAGGGCTCCCCTGGCTCAGCCATTTTTTTAAAAAAAGAGAATAATGGGGTGTTCTGTTCTCAGAGGTTTAATTTTTTAATGGCCTTGCCAATTAAATGAAAACCTTTTTCCAACTTTTTATTATGAAATTTTCAAACATACAAAAGAATGGAAAGAGTAACACAATGAACACGCAGACACCCTCCACCTAGATCCAGTCCTTTTTAACATTTTGCCACATTTGTTTAACCAATATGTGTGAGCCTGTGGGATGTGTGCATTTTCCCCTGAACCATTTGAAGGTAAATTGCAGATATCATGTCACTTTAGTCCTAAACACTTCAGCTTGTTCTCCTATAAAAACAGTTAAGACTAAGTGCAGATATCATTTTAGTCTTCTGAATCTCACAAGAATAAGAACATTTATATATAAAACCATAGTACCATTCTTGAACCTAAGAAAATTAACAGTAATTTCAGACATTATTTAATATCCAGTCTGGATGCAGATTTCCCCAAGAATATTTTTTTCAAGCCAAGGGTTAGTCAAAATTCACGCATTGCATTTGGGTTATGTTTCCTTAAATCTAGAAGACCCCCCCCCC